GTGTGTGTGTGTGTGTGTGTGTGTGTGTGTGAGTGTGTGTGTGTGTGTGGAGCCTGTAATCACCCTGCTCCTCCCTGATTCTAGGTCTCTGCACAGACTACAACATCAGATACAACATGTTAGCTTCACATGCCGCTCAAACTGTGGGGGGATCCTATGTGAAAAGATAAAATTAAAGCAAAGTAATAATTTCTTTTTTCACGCTTGAAATAAGAATTTATAACTTTGAAAAAGCTGTTTTGTACTTGTTAGTGTTGATGACATGGCTTTGTATCAGTTGATTTTCTAGTTTTAAGCACGTATTACTCAATATAGGTCATATAAATCTTTGTAACAAGCTGCAATATCTTATTAAGATAATTTAAGCACTTAAAACAAGTGAAACACTCTAGCACAAAAACTGCTTAATGAGAAGAACCATCTTATCAGACAAAAAAATAAGCAAATATCAGCAGAATATAAGAAATTTCTTTTTAAATGGATTTAAGTTTTTGCAGTGTGGAATCTGAAAACCCTGATTTAGAGTCCACTACACCTGCTTCACTCAGTGGGAGTCCATCAGTGAGTGAGACAGAGGAGAGTCAGGGAATCTAGTTTTGTCCTGCAGGAACCACTAAAGAGGACTAACATCCCAGTGAGACCAGGTTTAGTTTTCTTCTTCTTCTTGCCCTAACACCCAGATCCAGATCCAGACCCAGGTTTTACAGTAGACACAGAGTCCAGGAGCACACAGTCCTGAGGTTCAGGGCCCAAAGATGTCCCTCAGAGGTGTTTTTGGGGCTCTCACTCCCTTTAAGAGTCAGCTGATCCTGTAGGAAGACCGGCTCATGTCCTTGCAGGGTTGTCTTTTAAGGCACATATTCAGTAGACTGTAAAGAAGCTGAAGATTTGACTTGGATATTATTTCAGAAATCAGTCTTTTAGGGTGAAACAGAAACTAGAGGAGTCCTGAACCTTTCTTCTGATTATTGATTACAGTAATGTGTTATACATGAACTCCTCTGATCAATGCCTCCACATGCTGGATTGTGTTTATCTGAGGTCTATTACAAAGGGTGGAGCTCGAACTCATCATTGTGTCTTATACAGTAAATTGGCCATCTTTATATTATTGGTACTTGTTGATTTGTAAGGCTATTCTTCAGACGTCATTGTCGTTTTCTTCCGCTTCATCCGGGTCCGGGTCGCAGGGGCAGCAGCTTCAGGAGGGAAGCCCAGACGGCCCTCACCCCACCCACTTCCACCAGCCCCTCCAGGGGGATTCCCAGGCGCTCCTAAGCCAGGCAAAAGATATAATCCCTCCACCTGGTCCTGGGCCGGCCACGAGGTCTCCCCCCGGTGGGACATGTCTGGAACACGTCTAACGGGAGGCGTCCAGAAGGCATCCTAACCAGATGCCTGAGCCACCTCAGCTGACTCCTCTCAACATGGAGGAGCAGCGGTTCTACTCTGAGCGCCTCCCGAGTGTCCGAGCTCCTTACCCTATCTCTAAGGCTGAGCCGTTTCGGCCGCTTGTATGTGCGATCTTGTTCTTGCGCTCATTACCCACAGTTCATGGCCATAGGTGAGGGTCAGCACGTAGATCGACCGGTAAATCAAGAGTGTCGCCTTACGGCTCAGCTCTTTCATCACCACAACTGATCGGTTAAGTGTCCACATCACTGCTGACGCTACTCCGATCCGCTTGTTGATATTCTTCAGATGACTCCATCTTATTTATCATCCCTTTTAATCATTAATAATAGGACCTACAGTCTCCCAGGACTTGTATTATTTTACTGTTCCTAAAGTCAGAACAGAAATGAAGGAGGAAAATATTTTTTGCTCTGAGTCCAAATCAGACTCAGAAACTCCAAAGTTCGGTATCTCTGAATGTTTTAAAATCCATGATCAATTCTATTACATCCAGGCTTCAGGAGTGCAAATGTTTGACTAATCTTGTAAATTCTTGTAATTAATTTTGAAAATTATTAATTAATTAATTATTATTTCTATTATTTGTATTCTATATGATTAATGTGATTATTGTTTTGAAACTGTATGTGCAGACATTCTTGGCCAGGTCTCTCTGACAAACGAGATTTTGGATCTCAACGGGACAAACCTGTTAAAATAAAGGTTAAAATAATAATAACTAGAAAAGCACTCGGAGAGCGCAGACCTCCGCCAAGCAGCTCATGTCCCCCCTTATATTGTGATTCACACCAAAACTTTTACTGTTAAGTGTCTTTTATTAACTTTTATTTGTGTTTAAACTGGCATGTTCACTGTCTTACACTTCCGTACACTTCCTTGTATCTTCATTGGTTATCGTTCAGCATTGAAAATTCCAACGACACCCTTATTGTTGTGTTTTCTGGATCACAGTATCCGGAATTTTGTCTGGATCAGGATCAACCTTTGGCACCTCATAAAACTCATTGAGATCCTTTTGTGTAATTTTTTACTAAAGACTCTGGCCATTTTTATAGAGTAAAATGCAAAAATTCCAAAATTTGCCCTATCTCACAATGATAAAGAATCCTTCAAAAAATGTCTGGATCCAGAAGGTGATCCGGATCACCACCAAAGTGTAATGGGCTCCTCCTGGGGCTGAGACGCACCTCTGGTGAAAATTTGAGGTCAATCTGTCTGTAACTTTCTCTGTAAAGTTGCTAACAGACAAACAAACAAACAAACAAACAAACAAACAAACGCTACCAAAAACATAAACACAACCTCCTTGGCGGAGGTAATTAAAGGGTTCATCTGGCCTCTCTGATCCACGTTGGTCCACTAACAGGTCAATGACACGGTTCAGGAAGGATCAGGGGTTTTCCAAACAAACACAGCAGCGCCGCATCATCGATTATTTACGACTCAGGACACGCTGAAAGTATTCGACAGGATCCAAGGGTGACCCGGGTCCTGTGAGCTCCACACTGTTCTGGTCTCGTTTTTGCTGCTGGATCACATGCTGGGTCCTGTGTCTAATGGATCCAGTTCAGTCCTTATTTATAAACCTGGATTTATGGTCCGTGTGTTCAGGGACAAAGATCTTTACAGCTGAAGTCAGTGTTATAGATGTTAAGACTGAAACAGGAAGTGACGTTCAAATCCGGGTTCACCTTAAACAGAGGAAGACATAAGTTGGAAACAGAGTCAGAGCTGGAGTCTCTGCAGGAAGGTTCAGACTTTAGGGTGAACCAAAGACCTGTTCCTGGAGCAGAGATTAGGTTCAGGAGACCACAGTACACCTGTGGATCAGCTGATCTTAGACCACAGAAATGTAAATGTTAATTTTCTTTATATTTACAAACCTTTCGGTGAATCAAAGTGCTTCACAATACATAGAAAAAAATGAATTAATAAAAACAATAAAAAGCAATAAAAAAGAATAAAATATAATGCAATTAAATAAAGTGTCACCACACTTGTTGGTATGAAAAGCATAAAAATGTTTTTAATCGGTTTTGGAAAGGCCCAGGTCAGAAATAAGTCAGTACACCTGTCAATCAGCTGATCTTAGCCCATGTCAGCTGATCACCTGCCCTCTAAAGCTGCCTGTGAAAAATTAAAGGAGCAGTTCTTTTAATTAACCTCCTTTTTTTCCCCCCTGTTCTTCAGCCCAAACAGATTGGGGACGACTTCTGCGGTCTAGTTCTGAATCAGCCTCTGGGAGGTCTGAGGGTGATCGAGGGGAACCCGCTGTACGAGGACCGCACCGAGGGTATGGGCGCCGTGGCTGCATACACATACGGCGAGCACACGGTGGTGTTTGTGGGGACCCGGAGCGGACAGCTGAAGAAGGTAAGAGGCTGAGAGTTGGTGGACTCAGAGGTTGGCTGAGGTTGTGGTTTTTCTGAGAGGTTCTGGTTGAGCTGTGGAGGAGAATAGGAGTAAGAGGAGGAGTGAAAGGAGGAGAATAGGAGGAGTAAGAGGAAGAGGAGTGCGAGAAGTGAGAGAAGGAGAAGAGAAGAAAAGAAGTGAGAGGAAGAGAAGAGAAGAAGTGAGAGGAGGAAAAGAGGAGGAGAGACAGAAGAAGTGAGAGGAGAGAGGAAGAGGAGGAGTGAGAGGAGGAGAAGAGGAGCAGTGGGAGGAGTGAGAAGAGGACAGAGGAGGAGGGAGTGCGAAGAGTGAGAGGAGAGAGAATTGAGACGTGCAGTGAGAGGAGGAGTTAGAGGAGAAGAGACAGTAGAAGTTAGAGGAGAGAGAGGAGTAAGAGGTGCAGTGAGAGGAGTAGTAAGAGGAAAAGTGAGAGGAAGAGAATCGGAGGAGTGAGAGGAGTGAGAAGAGGAGAGAGGAGGAGGAGTGAGAAGAGAGAGGAGGAGGAGTGAGAGGAGGAGCGTCCTCCTGCTGAGGAAAAAGTCTGCCTGAATGATTTCAAACCGTTTTTTTTTCTGCTGAGATGTTTCTCTCTGTTTTTCTTTGGAGAGGAGGAAGAACCTCTCACTCCTCCTCTTCCCCATCCTTTCACTGATTTTTAGTCTTTTCTGTTCTGAAGAAGAAAATCCCGTTAAAGTTTGTTGTTTTTTTCCCTCTCCTCTCGTGTTTCTCTCGTGTTTCTCTCGTTATTTCTCATATAAATTCATATTTTTCTGGACCAAACCGGTTCCTGACGGATCAGGTGACCCTGCAGCTGAAATCGGAGCTTTGTTATCGTTTGTGTTGGAAAGGTCAGCGAGTCGATCTGAATCATTGATCGCCGTCCTCTGGTTGTTCTCTGCAGAGTAAATCTCTCCCTTGCTCCGTCCTCTTCTTCTCTTGGCTCACATTAATCTTCATCATCTTCATCATCATCTTCATCACGGTCATTAAAATTAAAAGCAGCGTTTAAAAAGCTCCTCTGACCTTCATCATCATCTCTGTCTCTGGATTTACATCGCCTAAAGAGATGACGACGGTGGTGTGGAGGAGGAGGCGTAGATGAATCCTCTCTGCGATCGCCTCCTCACCTCTCCTCCTCCCACACGCCTTTAATATTCATCCATAGTTTGGGGGTGGGGGGTGGGGGTGGAGGAGGAAATAGGAGAAGAGGGAGCAAGAGATAAGGAAAGAGGGATGAGTAAGGAGGTAATGAAATCCTCCTATTTCACCTCCTCATCCATCCTTTTTTGTCTCCTCCTTTTTGTTTCTTCTCTCTACTCATCTAAACTTCCTCTCCTCTTTCTCATTTTCTTCCTTTCTTTTGTCCTCTTTCTCATTGTCTTCCTTTCTTTGTTCTCCTCTTTCTCATTTTCTTTCTCATTTTCTCCTCTTTCTCATTCCCATTTCCTTCTTTTCTTTTTGTCCTCTTTCTCATTTTCTTCTTCCTTTCTTTTTTCTCCTCATTCTTATTTTCTTCCTTTTTTCTCTTCTTTCTCAGTCTCATTTTCTTCCTTTCTTTTTTCTTCTTTTTCTCATTTTCTTTTCTTTTTCCCTTTCCTTATTTTCTTCCTTTCTTTTCCCCTTCTTTCTCATTTTCTTTCTTTCTCGTTTTATTCCTGTCTTTTTCCCTCTTTCTCATATTCTTCTTCTTTCTTTCTCATTTACTCCCTTTCTTTTTTCTCCTCTTTCTCATGGTCTTCCAACTCCTTTCCTTTTTCTCCTCTTTCTCATTTTCTTCCTTTCTTATCCCTTTCTTTTTTCTCCTCTTTCTCATTTTCTTTTTCCTTGTTTCTTCTACCCGTTCGCATTTCTTCCTTTAGTGTAACTCTGCTTTCTCCTTTTCACTTCTTCTTTCTCCTTGTCTCAACTTCCTTCCCCTCTATCTTAATTTATTTTTGTTCCTTTCCTATTCCTCCTTTCCTTTTTCTTCCCTGCTTTTTTCTTCTTTCTCATTTTCTTCCCTTTTCCTTGTCTCTTCTTTCTTATTTTCTTCTTATTTTCTTTTTCCTTCTTCTCATTTTATTCCCTGTCTTTTTTCTCCCCCTTCGCCTGTTTCTCATTTTCTTCTCCTCTTTCTCTTTCTCATTCTCATTTTCTTCCTTCCCTTTTCTCCTCTTTCTCAATTTTTCATCTTTTTTTCTCCTCATTCTCATTTTCTTCCTTTTTTTCTCCTCTTTCTTGTTCTCATTTGCTTCTCCCATTTCTCATTCTCATTTTCTTCTTTTCTTTTTTCTCCTCTTTCTCATTTTCCCTTTTCCTTTCTTTTTTCTCCTCATTTTCATTTTCTTCCTCCTTTTCCCTCTTTCTCATTCTCATTTTCGTCCTTTCTTTTTTTTACCTTTTCTCATTTTCCTTCTTTCTAATTTTCCTCCTTTCTTTTTCCCTCTTTCTTATATTCTTATTCCTTTCATTTTTCCTGTCTCTCATTTTCTTCCCTTCTTTTTTCTCCTTTCTTATTTTCTTCTTCTTTTCTTTTTCCTTCTTCTCATTTTCTTCTATTTCTTTTTTCTCCTCTTTCACCTGTTTCTTATTTTCTTCTTCTTCCTTTTTTTCCTCATTCCCTTTTTCTTCCCTGCTTTTTTCTCCTCTTTCTCATTGTCTTCCTTCTGTCTTTTTTCTCCTCTTTCTTCTTCTTTTCTTTTTTCCTTCTTCTCATTCTCTACCCTTTCTTTTTTCTCCTCTTTCTCCTGTTTTTTTGTTTTTTCCTTTTCTCTTAGCTGTCATGTTTGTAAAACTTTGTCTTTTTGAGTTGAAGTGATGCTCACCATTTCCTGGGTTGTTGCTAAGCTCGGCTTACGACCTCCTGGCTCGTTATTTTCCCTGGTCACAGTGGTAAACTGACTCCGCCCCCTCGTCTCTGTTGTTTTATTGGAGCGTCAGGAGGAGCTCGTAACTCTTAGTTCATGCCGCACTGAGTCCTGCAGACCTCCACAGAGACGCAACAGGCCTGATTAATGTCACACACACACGTGCGCACACGCACACACACTGACCACTGACTGTGTTGTGACAGAAGAAAAAACAACAGGCTGTAACTCAGACTGTGAGTTGACTTTATCTCCGTCAGTCAGACCCTCTCTCTCTCTTGCTCTGTTGTTCGTGTTTATTTTCAGAGGTCTGCCCTGAGTCTTGTCTGGAGTCACGTTTTTCTGCGGGTCACTCTGAACTATTTAAGTCGTGAAAACGTGTTCATGTGACGGCCTGTAAACATGGCACATGTTTACTTTATTACACATGTTTAAGTTTGTGAACCAGATGACCTTTGACCCCTGCTGCCAGGATTCATGTGAGACTGATGAGGGAAAAAGAAAAAACTCAGATTCAGTTTAGATGATGGTTGTGTGATGATAAAGTAATACAAAATGAATCAGGTCGAGGTGCGAGATTCGAGGTTCAGGTTTGTCTGAGTGATTTTGTTTTAAAAACAGACAGGTTTACTTTTAAATTCTATTAGACTCTGAGAATTTTATCAAATTTATCATTTTTATCGTATGTTTCATTGTCAGCATTTTTATCATATGAATCATATTTATCTTTTTTTTCATTTCATCATTTCTGTTTTTTTCGTCAAAGTTTTTCACAATTATCCTTTTTATCATATAAATCATATTTATCTTTTTTTATCATATTCTCCTTTTTATCATATAAATTATATTTATCATTTGAATCATATTTATCATTATTTTTCATGTAATCATTTTTATTATTTTATTCATATTTATCATAATTATCCTTTTTATCATATTTATTATTATATTATTTTTTTCATATTATAATTTTTATCATTTTTACATTCATCATTTTTATCGTATTTACCATTTTTATCATATTCATCATTTTTATGTTTTTTTATCATATATATATCATTTTAATAATTTTCATCAAATTCATCCTTTTTATAATTAGTTATCGTATTTATCATAATTCTCCTTTTTATCATTTTATTTTATTTATCATGTAAATTATTATTATTATTTTTATCACATTCATCATTAAATCATATTTATCATTTTTATAATATTCAGCAGTATTAGAATTTGTATTATTTTATCATATTTATCATTATTATTTTTATCATATTTATCATTTAAGCATAATTATCTTTTTTATCGAATTTTTATAATTTTTTCATATTTATCACAAGCCTCATCCAGCTTTAGTTGAACAACACAACAAACTCAAATCAGTAAAAACACTTAATGAAGGTTGTGTTATGCAGATGGCAACAGGGCGATGTTAGCCAAAAAAAAAGCCAGTGTAGACGTAGCCAAAACTGTCATTCCTGAGCTGTCCACGAGAGGCTTTGTCCAACAGTGAGTCAGTCCCCATAGAGCCCCATTTTAATAATCTACAGTAGAAATCAACACGTTAACAGAAACAGTCACTATGACTCATTCTTGTATTTATGAGAACTGTACGGACTGAACTTGGCAGACTTTCAGAGGTTTTACTTGTCAGTCAAATGTGGACGCTCAGCATCGAATAGTTGCTGACACTGTCATTGTTTCGGGCTGGTTTCAAAGAGGAATTTTAGTGTTTCAAGCTCTTTTGGGTGTATCTTCCGACTCATTAACAGTCTGTACTAAGAGCGGTCATGGAGCAGCAGGTGAGTGTGTCACTTTATGGGCTGCAGGTAAACCTGGAGACCCTCATGGTAGTTAACGGCAGCATCCCTGTGTGCCTGTATCTATAGTCATGTCATTGCCGCAGCAGCTGCTTTGCTTGTAGTAATTGTGGTTGCCCTGGCAACGATAGTAATGGCTTCCCATCTATCAGAACTGTTTTATTGTATCAGCTGATCTGATGGCTGATTGGTTTAGAGAGGGTGATGTCATCAGTGTGTTGAGAGGGAACGAGGCGACAGGAAGCTGAAAGGGGGCATCCCGTGAGGAAGGGTGTGTGTGTGTGTGTGTGTGTGTCAGTTAGTCAGCAGCTCTCCTCTGTTCTGCTTCCAAAACAAACAGGCCTGAGGGGAGAGAGGAGATACGCTGCACTGACCGCACCTCCCAACACACACACACACACACACACACACACACACACACACACACACACACACACACACACACACATACACACACTTACTTGTTTTCAGGCCTGACCTGGTCTCTGCTGGTGTTTTAATGCTGTGCCATGTCAGTCTGTAAACATTAAACTTTTCTCCTGGAGTCCTTTGACTGTTTCAGGAATGACTGCACTAAACCTCATTTAGAACACACAATTTTAAAGTTTTGTCCTAATAATTCTGCAGACAGACCTGACAGATTTAGACTTCAAACAGGTCAGCATCCTGATCTGGTTATTTCAGCATCTTTACTGTGAGGTTTCAGCCCACTGTGATCTGACTGGTTTACAGTGAAACTGAGACTCAGTGGAGCTGATCAGGAAGACTCAAGTGTATAAGTTGGTGGTCTGTCTCGTTGACCTGTGCTGTTTTGATGCCGGTGTAGGTTTGCAGAGCTGCAGCAGACTTGAAATGAGACCTTTGAATCTCCCTGTGGACCAAAGTGTTGCTGGGAAGTTGAAGATGCGTCGATTGTTGCGTGCGCCAATGAAATGCTGTCCCTCTCTTGCAGCCCCTGTAGTTCTCCAGGTAGTTCTGATCCCGTAAAGTTTGAGGTGCACTTTCTGATCTTGTTTCAAAAGAAGGGACAGGTTTACTTTTTAATTCTATTAGACTCTCAGATTTTTATTATATTTATCATATTTATCATTTTTATCTTTTTTTTTCATTTTTATTATATTCATCATTTATTTCAATCAATCAATCATTTATTTATAAAGCACTTTTCATACATGGCTTGTATCACAAAGTGCTGTACACAGGGGATACAAAATAAAAACAAAATAAAATACAAACTGCAAAAACCCAACCCACCCACCCTCCAAGCCTGAATTTAACAGAGACCCCCCTCCCACACACCCACACACTCTCACGACCATCGGAACACCAAGTCAGGGCTCAACAGGAAGCCACAGAGGACCTAGGAAACGCTATCTTAGGCCACTTTTAGACGGAAACGGTCTCCATAGAAAACAGAAGTGCCGTTTCATTGTCAGTTTTTATGCTGTGTTTACACAAAAACGCAATGTGGTTGAAAACGCTGTAATGTGCATGCCAGGTTGCTGGGTGGCGCGTGTCGGTTCGACCACACTCCCACATAGACCAACAACGCATACGTAGAACAACTTCCGTTCCGACCAATCGGCACATTAATTATTTGATGCAAATAATTCAGACGCCTCCTCTGCTGAGCAGTATGATCCGTGAGGATTCTGTACAGGTCGAAATGGAGCTCCTGCCCTTTCAATAATAATGAC